GCAAAAAGAACAGATCTGGAGGCATCACATTATCAGACTTGAGACTATACTGCAAGGCTATAATAACTAAAACAGGATTATATTGGCACAAAAATAGAGAGCATGGTATTGGCACAAAAATAGAGACATAGATCAATGGAACAGAACAGAGAACCATCCACCTACAACCAACAGAAACTTGACAAAATAGAATATACACTGAGCAAAAGAAGCCCTATTCAATAAATGATGATGGGAAGATTGGATAGCCACATGCAGAAGAATGAAACAGGATCCATATCTCTCGAAACTCACAAAAATTAATTCAAGATGGATAAAAGACTTAAATATAAGGCATGAAACCATAAGAAGTCTAGAAGAAAATGTTTGAAAAACTCTTCTAAATATCTGCCTAGGCAAAGAATTTATGAAGAAGACCCCAATGGTAATCACAGCAACAATAAAAATAAATAAATGGGACTTGATTAAATTAAAAAGTTTCTGCACAGCTAATTAAATAATTAACAGAGCAAATAGACAATCTATAGAATGGGAGAAAATATTCACAAGCTATACATCCGATAAAGGGCTAATAACAAGAATATACAAAGAATTCAAGCAAATCAACAAGAAAAACACAAACAACGCCATTAAAAAGTGGGCAAGGACATGAACAGATCCTTTGAAAAGAAGATAGACAAATGGCCAAGAAACATGAAAAAATGCTCAGCATCACTAATCATCATGGAAATGCAAATTAAAACCATAATGAGATATCTATCAACTTACCACAGTTAGAATGGCTTTTATTAAATAAAAGGTCCAAAAACAATAAATGCTGGCATGGATGCAGAGAGAAAGGAATGCTTATTCACTGTTGGTGGGCCTGCAAATTAGTACGACACCTATCGAAAACAGTATGGAGATTCCTCAAAGAACTAAAGTAGACCTACCATTGATCCAGCAGCCCCACTACTACTGGGCATTTCCCTGAAGGAAAAGAAGTCATTTTATCAAAAAGACATCTGCACATGAATGCTTATTGCAGCACTACTCACAATTGCAAAGATGTTGAATCAACACAAGTGTCCAACAATTCATGAGTGGATCAACAAAATGTATATGTATACTATGGAGTACTACACAGCCATGAAGAAGGATGGATTAAGGCCTTGTGCAACCATTTGGATGGAACTGAAGACCATTATCCTAAGTTAAGTATCTAAAGAATGGAAAAACAAACACCACACATACTCACTATTAAATTGGAACTAACTGATGAGCACACATGTGCACAGAGGGAAGTAAAACTCAGAAGAAATCAAGAGGTGGGGAGGGGAGAGAAAGAGGTGAGCCAAAACCTACCTGACGGGTACAATGAACACTATCAGGGTGATGGGCACACTTATAACCCTGACTCAAGCATAATACAATCAATATATGTAATCAAAAACATTTGTACCCTATTATTTTTAAATTAAAAAATAAATTTTTAAAAAGAATAATAATGAAAAATATAAAGTCCATTTTGCCATGTAAAGTAGTATATTTACAGGTTTTGAATGAAAACATGGGCACCTTTGGAAGGTCATTTTGCCTATGAGAGATAAAAATGCCAAAATGGATAAACAAATAGAATAGCCATATGTCTATTAAAAAATTTGAATTTTTAGTTAAAAATCTTCCTACAACGAAACTTTATCTTCATTCTTCATACCAAACACACAAATTAATCTGAAATGAATCATAATCAAAAAAGCAAAAGCTATAAAACTTCCAGAACAAAACATAAGAGAACATGTTTATAACCTTGGGACAGGCAAATAATTTTTTACAAGACATGAAAAGCATCAACTATAGAAGAAAAATTGATAATCTTTTCATAAAAATGAAAACCTTTACTCTTCAGCAGATAATGTTAAAAAATGAAAAAGCAAGCCACTGAGAAAATATTTGCACTACATACATCTGACAAAGACTGTTTTCCAGAATATATAAAGAATTTTTACAACTCAATATAGGAAGACAATTCAATAGAAACTGGACAAAGAAGATGTATAAATGGCCAATAAGCACATGAGAAGATGTTTAACATCACCAGTCATCAGGAAAACACTTATTAAAACTATATTGATATACTACTACTCACCCACTCTAATGGATTAAATATAAAAGGAGTGGAAATACCAAGTGTCGGCAAGGATATGAAACACGTGAGTCTCTCACACATTGCTGGTGAGAGTAAAAAATCATACAACTTCTTTGGAAAACATTTTGGCAGTTTCTTATTAAGTTAAACACATATTTCATATAATCCAGCAATTTCAATTCTAGATTTTTACTCTTGATAAAATATATGTAGCATATGAAAACATATGTCCACATAAAAACTTGTCCTTTAATGACCATAATGACCATAGCTTTATTCAAACTAAACAGAAACTGGAAACAAACACAATATCCATCAACAGGTGAATAAATAAATAATTTATGGTATATCTATATATTGTGACTACTCTTCAGAAATAAAAAGAACTAGTGATCCCTATAATAGAATGGATGAACCTCAAAAGCATTTTGATGAGCAAAAAAGAAAGACACGAAAGAGTAAATACTGTATGATTTCCCTTTACATGACATTCTACAACAGGCACAGTTAACACACATTGACAGAATGCCGGTCAGTAGTTAACTAGAGCTGAGGGTGAGAGGAATTGATGGCAAAAGGGCATGGGGTTACTTTTTGCAATGATGGAAATATTTTGATTGTAGAGGTGTACATATTTGTCAAAATTTATTGAACTGTACTCTCAAAATAGGTTTATAATATTGCATGTAAATTATAAGTCAATAGTTGATTCTTTCAATAAAAGAAAAAACATTTAAAGAATCAAGACACTTGGGCCCCATTCCTAGTGATTCCAATACCGCGGGATTGATACAAGGCCTAGATATCTGCACTGTGAACAAGCCCCATGGATAATTATGCTGCAGGCTATTTCGCTTATGGTATTGGTCTCTATGAGCACCCAAATATTGGACAACAAATCAACTAGGCAAGCAAAGAAAATTCAGAGGAACAGTTTGAGGTTTTTCTGTGACCTATCCCATCTGCTAACCTCTATTCTTTAGCTGGAACACTGGTCACTATGCAACTATCCTCCTGGGTTCTCTGTTCCCCCAAATGTTAACTCAGCTGTGGATAAGCTCTTTCATTTATTCTTTACAAAAAAAAAAAGTTTGCTGGGAAAATTAATGGGGGAAAAAGCAAAATTAATACACTGAACTCAAGTGCAGAGAAACCAATTTATTTGTGGAGCACAAATTCCTCCCCATGAGGTCATTTCAAGTCTGACACCAGATGCTTTGGGTGGCCTTGTTCACTGGGCACATGATATCCACAAATAAGCCTCCTCTAGAGCAACAGGAGGTAGACAGGGCGCCTGGTGGACCACCTGTGTGAAGAATGGAACATCACAGCAGCAAAGGTGCTAAGAGCACCCATAGCCCTCTCCCACTCCCTTGTTGAAAGAAAGTGTCATTTTCCTGCCAAATTAGATGAAACCATAGTTCTCTGTTTCCATTCTTTAGTCTTTTCTTGCTTCCTGACATATCTTCCCCATCTCTGGCCCCCTGTTCCATCTGTTGAAATACTCCCAAGCTTCATGGCCCAACTTGAGTAACATCTTCATTGTGCCTTTTCAGATCACCAAACAAATGAAACCTCTCCCTCTCTTGAATTCCTATGGCACTTGATTTGAAGAGCTTTTACAGAAATCCTGACTTGTATTTTACTTACTCATACACATGTCATATCTATTAATACTTCATTAGAATGGAATCAACTTGATTATAAAGGCTGTAATTTAGTTTATATATATATAATATGTTATATACATTATATATATAAATATAATGTAGCCTAGGTGTAGTCTGCATACATCCCAGTACATTACTTTGTACTTAGTGGGTAATTTACATACAATTATTGTAGAAATGAATGAATGAATTGGTCCATGCTGATTCCTATCTCTGAGCTTTGCTCATGCTGCCCTTCTTTCCTGGAAAACCCTTCCCACCTCAGGGGTCTCTTCCTCCAAGAAACTTTCTTGGCTCTTGGCTCCTATGGCACTCTGGGCATATCACTTGCCACCACCACCATATATCAAAATGAATTATTTATTATCCATTTCACCCACTTATTCATAAGCTTCGAGAAGCCAAAAATTCCTTCCTAGTCAAGCTTATCTTACCACCATCTAGCCCAGTACTTGGTAATAGCATGCATTTCATAAATGTTTGTCAAACAGAATGGTTTACTCAGAAGTTTCTGGAAGCATAAGTCCATGCCACAGAGGGCCTGGTTTATTTAGTTTGTGTTCCTATTAGAGAACCCAGAATTTACTGTCCGGAGGTCTCATTCCAGGAGAAAACCCAGCATGAACAGCCTTCCTACCTTAAGTATCCTCCAGGCTGAAGGAGGGAGCAGGACCAGGGTTCTCCAGGGTCTCGCATGGCCACGAACCCTATGTGCAGGTAACTCCCCAGCAGGACGCACTGCACGTGCAGAGGAGGCAAGTGTGGCCTCTCCTCAGAGGACGGGCCCCAGCCTGCAGAATGGGGACCGTAGGAGAAAGAATCTGCAACCCTTTAGAGCCCCGGGCCTTCTCCTTTAACCGGTTCTCTCCCTCTGCTCCTGCGTTCCCTTTGTCTGCTGCTAGCCTCTCCCGCTTCTTTTCCTCCTTCTCGCCCGGCTTCTCTTCTCCTAGGGTCTCACCGCACTTTCCCAGGACCACTGTTCCCCCGTGGCCCCTTTTCCCTTTTCACCAGTCGGATTCACCTCATTCATCTTGGGTCACCTACGTTTGCCCTGCTCCTGCGCCCCTGGCACACACTGACTCGCGTCCGCGTGCCCTGCCGGCAGGAGCGAGGCGTCCTCACGCAGCCAGGAGGAGGGGGGCGGGCGGCCGGGCGCCAGCCCCGCCCCGCGCGTGTGCGAGAGTCTGTGTGGCGGTGACGCGGCGCCGGCGGCAGGAGGAGGGGGGCACCTGCCGCCCGGCTGCTGGGCTCCCGCGCCCTGCGCTCCCCGCCGCCCGCCTAGGCGCAGGCGGGGCACAGGCAGCGGCGGGTGGCATGGAGAGCCTGCTGGAGAACCCGGTGCGCGCCGTGCTCTACCTCAAGGAGCTCACCGCCATCGTCCAAAACCAGCAGAGCCTCATCCACACCCAGCGCCAGCGCATCGACGAGCTGGAGCGGCGGCTGGACGAGCTCAGCGCCGAGAACCGCAGCCTGTGGGAGCATCAGCAGCTGCTACAAGCCCACCCTCCGTCCGGGCTGGTGCCTCCGTCGTCAGCCCCGCAGCCAGCTCCCCGGGCCGCCGCGGCCCAGGAGCCTCGCCAGGACCACGGACAGCTCCCGGGCGCCGCGCTGCAGCCCGCACCCGCGCAGCCGCTCCAGCACCACGGACAGCCCCCGGAGCAGCCCCAGCCAGGCCCCAGCGGCAGGGCTCAAGCAGCCCAGGCGCCCCACCAGGAGCCGGTGACGCTCGGGGCCGTCGCCAACAAGGAGAAGGAGCGTCCCCCGAGTTGCTGCGCTGCCGCCGGAGCCCTCCTGCAGCACAAATCCCCCGCCGCCCTCGGCAAGGGCGTCCTGAGCAGGAGACCTGAGTGAGTGGAGAAGAGGAGGGGAAGGTTGTGGTGGAAGGAAGGGAAGGAAGCAAGTGAGCGTGAGGAGGGGACATGGGGGAAATGGAGTGCACGCAAGGGTCTGAAGGACTGGGGTAATGTGAAGATGAAAGGGTGAGAGGATGCTTGGGGTGGAACTATGTCAGGAGATTTGGGGGAAGCAGGGAACGGTATCAGTGTTTGAGAAGGCATGGGGGATGTTGGAGCAAAAAGGTACACAGGCCGTCACTAGGGGCAGAGGAGGAAGAAATGGGTTTTAAATGACTGGGGATATTGGAAGCTGGCAGGGTTTAAAGGAGACTAGATTGGGAGGAAGTTGGAGTGAAGATCAAACTGAAGAAAAAAGAAACATTGAAGGATCTTTTAAGCTAGAAAAATTTGGAAGAGTTTGCATAGTATAATTATTTCAATGGAGAGTGAGAGGTGAAGAAGACGGAGGCTTGGCAAAGAGACACGTTAAGAGGTTTGAAAGGGCTGGAGTCCAGGAAGAGCAGGATTGGGGTAGAGGTGAATTCAGGAGGCAGAGGATATAGCTGAAAAGCAGGAGAGATGTGAGAGGGCAGGGGAGCTGCAAATAGAAGAAGATAAAGGGTGGGAGAAAGATTCTCAGAGGAACGAGCTGGCCCTTTAACTGGTGCAGTGGAAGTCAAAGCCAGGAGCGGCTCCCTGGGGGAAGCCGTTTTGCTCAGACCTGAGTGGGCGCCTCTCTGCGGACTCCCCACAGAGCCGAAGGCCTGCAAGGAACCCACCTATCGACCCAATGGAGGACTCAGTCACAGCTTGAGGACTCAGTCTGGTTATAGCTTTTTCCTCGAACTCAAGGAGGATTTCTGTGCAGGGCAGTTGGGCATGGTGAAAAGTGAACAACAATGAGAGGACAGTTGGTAAAGGGAGTTGGCATTTGTGTGTAATGCCTGCTGTGGCTCTCTGCTATGGCTAGTGACTCCAAGCCTTGTTTCCCCTTGGTGATTGGGTGATAACTGGAACCATGTGTTGGGTCTTGAGAGAAATGCTACCCCCCTGGGACCTGGGGCCTCAAGCTCTTTCATCATTTGAGAGGTCCACGAACTAGGAATATGGGAAGAAGGGGTGAAATGGGCTGGAATATTCCATCCTCTGTATTGGGAGGGCTGTGACCATGTCAGCTTCCTTTCTTTGATTAGACAGGTGATGGGAAAACTGAATGGAAGAACAGCTCAGGGGAAAGGAAATCAGTGCCTGAGCAGCACCTGCCCCTGACAATGGTGATGCTAAAGGAGGCCAGGGAGCAAGAGGGGACAGGAGAGCCAGGAATCTCATCTTCACTCAGGCTCAAGTGTACTTTAAATCTAGGGGACACTTGTGAAGATTTGCCATATTCCTTAAAAACTCACTTTCTCCTCCCATCTGCTGTAGTTAGAGAAGTTGGGTCAGGGTGTGTTAGCTTACAGGGCATGTTTGACCTGAACCATGAGATCTTAGGGGTGAAGATCTAGAATGATTATCTGGCTTGGCAGACCTAAAGCATTTGATTTAAACCCAAGAGGATGCAGCTTTCCACCTCAGCTCACTCCACGGACATGTTCCCTTCCCTCAGTTTCAGTTTTCTTTCCTCATCTCACATGAAAAGCAGAAAGTACATTTTCCCTAAATGCCCATGGATTGGCAAAAGGCTATGTACTTCATGATAGCATGTGATCTTTTCCCAGTTAGGGTTAAAGAGCTATTCCAGTCCATTTCCCTGGGAGCGGCCATGGCTTCTGATAATCACGGTCCTTCATCTACTTCCTCTGTCCGTGGCTTCTGGGTCTCCCTTTTCTCCCACTGTACCCCACTTCCTTTGTGTCTCTTCAGGGGACTGTGCAGGCATGAAGAGTTGAGGAAAGATCATTTTTCCTGGGCAAAGACCTTTCTGTGGCCCCCAAAGCAGCCTAGAGAGCTCAAACCTTTCCCTCCAGATGCTGCTGCTGCAGGGGTTTCGGGATCGCCTGGGTCCCTATCCAGCCTCACACGTCAGTACTAGAGAGGAATCCTGGACATGACGTCCTCCTCTTTCCTTCTCACATGTCCTGCTTCTGCTTCCCAATGGAGCAGAACAAAAATAAGAAATAATTAGCACAGTGGATAGTGGAAGTTGTTGGAAATCTTTCACTTAGGAAGTTGTGCCTGGCACTAAGACCAACTCCTTCCTTTGTCCAGCTATTCCCCTGCTCCCCAAGCCTGGGGATTCAGAGACTCGAAACCACCAATGTGCCTGCCTCACCTCCTCCCTGCAGCTCTCTTCCCTTGGTTGTGACATCATGGCCATCTTGGCTGGCTGAATAACCTTCTGGATCACCCATTTCTTTCCCCATAGTTTTGCCCAACTTTAACCCCAGTTAAAGAACCTCAGGAAGGAATCATCATTGCTGATGCCATGTTTGGCCCCAGCCTGCTCTCTGTCCATGGCCCCCGTTTCGCATGTGTCTTCCCCTCTGCCCACACCTCTCTGCGGTGCAAAGCTAGATGGAGCCAGCAGGCAGGCAGAGACCTCCATGGACAGGGCAAGGCGCAGAGGAGCAGAGCAGAGCCAGCAGCCCTCTCCTTTGGGTTTCTTCTGGGGAGCTCCCTGCTGCCTCGGTTTTCTACTGGGCCTGCTGAAGTAGGATGAAGAGATGGCACAGAGGGTCTCCTGATCACATTTCTGCTGTGAATCTTTTCTCATTCCTTCTCTGGCCTCATTATAGTGAGAATGCAGTCTCAGTGAGGTGGCTGAAGGGTGGTGAGGGTTTCCAGGGGCCAGGCACTGGGTTAGATGCATTCTTTCACCACACAGTTTGCCTCTTACCCCCAGAACTCCTTTTCCTGCCCAATTCCAGCAGAGGCAGAAGCCCTGGGGAACTTGCCACTGGGAAATAATAAATCATTTCATTGCCATCTGCTCTACATTAATATGCAGTCTGGCCTTTCAGCTGAAGGAGTGAGACATGGAGGTCAGGTCAAAGAAACGATATGGGGGTGGGTGAGTGCAGGGATACTGTGGAACAAAAACACACAAGGGGTTAAAATTCTTTGTCTGCCTGCTTCCTGACTCTTGCTAAGCTCTGGACCCCACTGCTTCTGCCTCTTAATGGAAGCAGAAAGCATAGCTTCCTCTTCTTTACTTTTTCAATCAAGGCTCACAGCATCTACAAAATTGATTATCATTCCTTTCCTGGCTGGAGCCAGAACCTCAACTTGACCTGGCAAAGTCCCCTTGCTATGGAAGCACATGATCCTACCTGAAGCTGCTGGCTTTAGTGTGATCACAGTTTCTCTGAGCACATCTGCCCACCCCTCCAGCCATGAGTCTATGGACGACAGGGCTTGCCCATGTCTCCAAGTCCACTGGCAGATGGTTGCTAGTGGCTAGGTTCTTGCATTATAATTCAAATTCAGCTCCTACTCCAAGCTCCCTACCTCAGCGTAGCTGTGAAGTCTGAACAACTCAGAAGCTCCAGTCTTCTCTCTTTCTTCCTCCCTTGTCTTCCTTTTACATCCTTCCTCTTCCTCACTACTTTCCTTCCTTCCCCTGCCCCCTTCTTTTCTCTCCCTTAAACACTTTGTCCTATCATCTTTTTTCCTTCTATTCTTCCTCCACTTAGTCTACACAGAGAAGTCTCTTTGCTGTCTACCCTCCTCCTTTAAGCATGAAATAAATATTGAGTCACCTTTTGAGCTCCTTGGTCTCATATGCCTGGAGGCTGTGGACATGGGTTTAGCCTGAGCTGCCTAAGATGCTGATTGGAACAGGTGTCTCTGCTACTATTAGGTCAGAGTTGTCTATTTGAAGGTGGCAGCTCATGACTGGCCCATCCTGGAAGCTATTAAGAGAGTGTGACAGTCTATCAGTCAGTCAACTATATGCAGTAAGTGTACAGTCCATTCAAAACCCTGCATTGTGTATGTGGAAAGATTGGAAAGAAGCAAATAGTCCTTGCTCAACTTACATGAGACTGTGCCTAGAGCATCTGAACGAGTGTAAGCATGTTGTGGCTGCCTAGAGCTACCATCTCGCACAGCAGGACAGGTAAGTCAAACTCAGATCTCTTCTGCAGCATTTTAAGATTACTTGCACTTCTCTTAAGGACATTAATCAAGGAGATCTGAATTGTCACCCAGTGCCCCAGGGAGAGAAAAATGAGCATCCCCATTTCCTGAATAGGGAAACTACAGTCTCATCTAGGAAAAGCTATACTGACTTGTCAAGGACCAAGTGGAAGGTGGTTCTGAGGGCAGAAAGCTGGAAAGAACAGCAGGGTGAGGAAAGACAAGGTCTGACAGGCTGTTGTGGAGCCTTTGGGTGGTGTGGGGAGGAGGTTGGGGGGAGGACTCTGCTTTCTCTGGTCAGGACTAAAAGGTAAACAAGGCTGGGCGTGGTGTTTCACACCTGTAATCCTAGCACTCTGAGAAGCCAAGGTAGGAGAACTGCTTGAGCTCAGGAGTTCGAGACCAGCCTGAGCAACAGTGACCCCATCTTTATTAAAAATAGAAACATTAGCCAGGTGTGGTTGCACACACCTGTAGTCCCAGCTACTCAGGAGGCTGAGGCAGGAGGATCACTTGAGTCCAGCAGTTGGAGGTTGCTGTGAGCTATGATGACGCCACGGCACTCTAACCTGGGCAATAGAGCGAGACTCTGTCTCAGAAAAAAGAAGATAAATGAGGTTTTTCTCTTAAAGACTTTTCTTAGATGAGATACCTTCCAGGAAAAACAAAAGAAATGAAAAAGAACATATGGTGGGCCTCTAAAATTTTCTCCCAGGGTGATTGTGGCTACTAGGCCACCATAGGCAAAAATTGCCGGTGTGTGTGTGTGTTAGGGCACAGTGTGGGGTGGGGTGGCGTACAGGCTGTTTTGCTGTTACTCTTTGTTGGGAATAACTGATCTGGAAGGGTTATGTAACTCTGTGAGACAAGTGTATGTGCTGAGTGGTACCTTTCCTCCTGGCTATGGACAGAGGGCATGCAGGTGGCCTGTCCAA